ACTCAGTATTTGTTGCTAGGAAAGCAACTTTTCTTCATTTTAGGTTGTCTCAGTCTATCTATATCACTATATCTACATCCAGGTAGCAGTTATCTACCATCATTCTCCCTTACCTTTGAAGGAATCCAAAACCTGACTCGTAGTGTTCCTTTCTACCCTGAATCCAGCCCTCTTACATATGTATTTGATAACCCCTCAGACACCCTAGATTTCAAATTCATCAAGCTCTTTACCTCCTATGATCAATGTTTCTGTCATGTTAAATCTAGTGGCCTTTTTCTCTACCACCTCCTCTTCCTGTATACTTCCCCCCACAAGGCCCCTACCTTCTCCTGAGTCTCCTTCTACCTGTTTGGCCACTTTTTTAGTCCCTTTTGCTGGACCATTATCCATGTTCTACCTGTTATATGTAAGGATACCCCAGAACTTTGTCCTGAGCCCTCTTTTCTTTCCTCTCTACCCTCTCCATGATCGTTATTATCTTTACTCGATTGACATGCATTTATTAAGATTTTACAATGTATTTAACTCTGTGGATACAAAGAAGGGCAACAACAACCATGACAATGACAATAATAAGACCTGCCCTCAAGGAGCTCACATTTTAATAGAGACAACATGAAAATAACTAGGTATATACCATATCACATATTTAAACATATATTTGTGTATACATGTGTGTCAGTGTGGAGAGAGGAGAGAGAGAGAATAGAGAAGAAGAAAAAGGTAATAATGGAGCGGAAGATACATAGCTAAGGTGATCTAGAAGGTCTTCCTGCAGAAGGGGTCATTTTGAGCTGTCTTGGGTAAGCCATGGAAACTAAGACAGAGGTAAAGAGGGAGAGTATTCTAGGCATCTATATGCAGTTGCCTCTATCTATCTCTAGATTTAGAGAGATAGCTAGATAGATATAGATCTATATCACAGATCTACATATCTAGCCCTCATCTCTCCCATGTGCTCTTTTACCTAGTAGATAGATAACTTCAATCTTGAAATCCTATGGACCACTCATAGTGAACACATCTAAAAATGGAACTCATTATCTTTTCCCTTTAATCTACCTCTCTTCCTAATTTCCCCATTTCTGTCAATAGCACCACCATACTTCCAATCTCTTACGTCCACAACCTTGAAGTTACCATTGATTTTTTTTTTTACTTTCCTGGCTCTCCCCCCACTTCTCTCCCTGCCCCCACCCAAGGATTTGCAAAGTCTTGGTTATTCTGCCTTCTCAGTATTACTCTTCTGCTCCTTTTTCATTCTCAAGACCATCATTTTAACTCAGGCTCTAATCAACTGGAACATTGAAATAGCCCCCTAATTTCCCCTGCTTCCTTTCTTTCACCTCCATTCTAAAATGTTGTCAAATTGATATTCCTGATGCTCAGATCTGATCACATCATTCCCCAGTTCAAGAAGCTTTATTGACTCCCTATTACCTCTAGAATAAAATATAAAAACCTCTGTCATTTAAAGACTTTCACAATCTCTCTCCTACCTGTCTTCTCAGATTTCTCATTATTCCTCATCGTGCACTTTATATTTTAGACAAACTGACCTACTTGTACATGATATTCCATCTTCCTTCTTTGTGTCTTTATATAGAGTATTCCCCATGCCCAGAGTGCTCTTCTGCCTCAGTTTCATCTTTTGGAATCTATAGTTCCTTTAAGGTTTGGTCTAGGAACTATATGTTCTTTCCTAATCTTTCCAGTTCTTAGTGGTCCCTCTCCAGTATCCCTAAAAATAATTTGTATTTGCCATGTGTATAATTTGTATTTATTATCTGTGTGCATGTCCTTTAATTCCACTGAAATGTAAACTCTTTGAAGTAAGGAATTATGTTGTTTTGGTTGTATATCTTTGGTATTTAGTATAATACCTTAATAAATAACTGTTCAATTGCATTGAATTAATCTACAGTAAGATCATTTGAATTTGTTGTAGTTGTTGGATCAGGAAATATTAAGAAGTATATAGCACTTTGTCTTGCCATGTTATTTAGGGAGACCTACAGTCCTTAGGTTGTCTCTATATCTGTGTTCAAGATCAGTATGCTTTGTTGGATAGAGAGCATATTTTGTTTTAATATTATTGTTTTTCTGCTTCTCTTCTAGATTGTCCTTCACTTCTATGTATTTACATATCTATCTATTATTTTCTCTTTTTTTATTAAGACATCACAGATTTCAGGTTTAATTCTACCCATTATTTTTATTATGGCAGGCCATAAATTCTCTGCTCTCATAATTCTCTCTTTTAAACCACTCAGAAATAGCATGTTGTGGGTCCATGTTCTCTTCAGATTACTGGGCCCTCTGTCTCATCAAGTGTTGGATCATTTTGCTTTGTTTTGCAGTATTTATTCATAGATGCCTGAACTCATTTACTAGATCTGCAGGCCATATTTCCTTCTACTATTTTTGTTTTCCCTGTTGATTTATCTGTTTATGTTCAGTATCTTCAAGTTCCTTCTTACTAAGGTCTTTGATAATTTAAAGTCCCCCCCGTTATTTCCCACATTTATCACATCCTGACTCCCTCCCCCCTGATTGTGATTTCCTTAGGGGCTGAATTTCAGCTTCCTCCCACAAGGGAAAATTTATCAGCCTAGGTCTCTGTCCCAACTGACTTTGTGGGGGGGGGGAGGCAGAATTGGCCCCAGCTGGATTCTGGGCTCTTTCCTTCAAGCTTAGTGGAGTGTTATACAACTCCCTTGCCCCTCCCCACATACAGTGTGCTGTCTCATTCCCTCCACACCTCAGCTCTCTGACCCGCCAGTCCTATGCCACTGAAGCTGAGAGTGATTTTTGTCATTTAGAGTCACCAGGGCTCTGAGAACAGGGGTATGTGGTGTGTTGTTGTATTGAACTCTATTTCAAACCCAGACACATGTCATTGCCCTTTCCCTCAGTTTCTTTGCTCTTCTGCAGACATCTTTTGTAGTACAGAATGCTGTCACTGCAGTCTACACTGTCAGGACTCCAGCAAAGTTTTGGCAGCCACAGCCTCGCAGTCCAAACAAACTTCAGGATCATCAGGGCACTGGAGAAAGGGGTATGAGGTTGAGTTTTGCTGCAAGCCCTGCTCTATGGTCCTTGAGTCAGCTAGTATCGCCTTGCTGCCATTACATGGTGGGGGAAGTAGTGCTGACTGGGTTCAGAGTAAATGTCAGTCAGTTCATCTTTTTTAAAATTTTTCATTTGAATTACGGGTTTTGTAGACCATGGAGATGGTGAAATCATTTCATCCTTGGTGCATAATTTCTGTTCTGGAAAAGTTTAAGAAGTCATAGGAATCAGAGAAAATGTCTAGTTCTCCATCTTGTTTGTCACATGGCCTAGAAGTCCAGCATATAGTACTTTGGGCAGAATGGGCAAACTAAGAGGAAAGATGAAGTACCAGACTTTGTATAAGGGGGAAACATAAAGTCCATGGGCTCTTGGTTGCAGTATGGAGCCAAGATAAACTACTTGCATGGGCATGAAAGAATAAAAGGAAAATAAAACCTTTAAAGACAAAGTTCTCTTAACAATCCCTCTAGAGTTGGTTATACATTTCCCCTTGTTTTCTGGATACCAAATTGCACCTGTGATTTAACCCTACTGATATTTCCACTCAATTGTGTTGCTCTGTCTGGATCATTAAACATATCAAGTATCTACTACATTTCAGGCACTGTACTCAGCCCTGGAAATATAAAGAAAGGTAAAATATAGTTCTTGCTCTCAAGATGTTCACATTATAATGGGCAAAAGCTAGTAAGGCAAGACCGTTTCATCAAAATGACTTTTAAATATGGACACCAACGATTACTAGTGAGACAATGAAAAAAAGGATATTGGATTTAGGGCCAGTCAAGATGATCTTAGGTTTGAATCTCAATTTTGTCATTTGCTATCTGTGGGATTTAAGTCACATAATCTTTCTGGACCTCACTTTCCCCATGTATAAAAGGATAAGATTGGAACAAATGAGCTCTAAAAATCCCAGAAAGCACAATAGGAAATCCCTGGAACACCATAGAAAAGTTTATATGAGAGTATTATATGTTGCAGGGGGGAGAGCACTGGAGTGAGAAGACCTGGGTTTGAGTCATAGCTTTACCATTACCAACCTGGTTGACTTTGGGAAAGGCCTTTGGACTTCTTAGCCCTTGGCTCCATCATCTGTAAAATGTGGATTGGACTAGATGGTCACTAATCTATTTCATTTTCTTGAAAGTAGAAGTAGTGTGTTGTTGTCCCTCCTTTTCAAAGAGGACCAAAATGACATCCCTATGCCTGAGTCAAGTTTTAGTGTGTATGACTGTAGCTGATCAGACCAACACAAGCTCGGAATATTCTACCACAGGTTGGGCACAAATAGTCTGTGCGAACCTTTGGTGGATTCTGTAAGCTTGCATATCTTGTATTTCTCTTGAGCTACCTCAGTTTTGCTTTGCTCATAGAGCACAGCACCTTTTCTGATGTGGGCATGCCATGCTGAGCAGTCTTGTGCCAGTGTCTCCCATGGCACACAATCAATTCCAAAGGTCTCTCTTAAGAGAGACCTTGAAAATGTCCTTGTATCACTTCTTCTGACCACCATGTGAATGCTTCCCCTGTGTGAGTTCTCCATAAGATAGTCTTTTTGGCAAACCTACGTTTTGCATTCGAACAATATGGCCAACCCATTGGAGTTTGAGAAGTAGTCTATTTATCTGGTAAATATGAGTAACTACTTCATTATTTTTCTGTAGCATCATGCTTCAAGGATCTAAGGGATATTGTGCTTTAAAAAAAAGTTCAACAAGTTGCACAATATACTCACTTTCTATGTGTGAAATAATTCAATTATTTAATACATTTGAAAGAATTATTTTTGACCACAACAATTTAAGACACATTTCAAAATGAAATCTCATAATTTGGTGCTAGCTAGATATCACCATCAAAATCCTTTTAAAAATCTGACAAAAACATCCTTTTTTCCCCTTCGAATTTTATTTGAATAGGTCATTGAAGCAATACAGGCTGTTCTACTGGCTGAAGTTCAACAATACATGAAAACCTTAAGAACAAGATACATCAACCATCCACCACTGCCCGTGGTAGGCAATGGAAATGGAGAGAAGGAGACGCTGCCAAAGAATGAACAGTCAGAACAGCTAGAGTTACAATGCATTAAAAACAGGACTTCGCAAAGTAAGTGCAAAATTTATTGGCATATTCTTACATTGGAACTTTTCTACTACTTAGAATATGTTGAGAATATGTGTTCGTAATATATCATTTTGGAAAGACTCGAGCCAAGTGCCCTGTTCCTGACCTATCCTGCTATCAATTTTCTCTTACAATTGTCAAGGTTTTAAAGACTCCCAAATTCCATTATTATCATCTATCATTGTGTATTTTCAATAAGAAACAGTGTAATATTTCTCAATTTTGTGTAAAACATAAAGCAAAAAATTAGAGTGTAATAAGAAATAATGTTTTTGTTTCACAGATGCAATTAAAATTTAATTGCTTTTTCCTATTGATAATTTTATTCTCATACAGTGGACACTAAAATTAATTGATTCCATTTTATATCTTAATAATGACCTTGTGTGATGTTTCTCCCTTTTTTTTAGCAACAAGAATATGATTTGGAAATTAATCCAGTTTTATATTTAGATCATTCCATTTTACAACAAACTTTGTCATCGTAACTTTTTAATGGTGCTAATGCTTATAGTGGACCAGAGTGAAATTCAATTTATGTTACAGAATGATATTCATGTTTTTAGCCCATTAACTGAGTCTTATAAATGAAGTCGCCTAAATTTTACTTTCCATATTATTAGTAAGGCTTCACAAAAGCAGCTAATTTACAATCTGATTGAGTATGTGTCCGTCATGAACATTTGTTACCACATGCTTGTTTCCAATATGTGAAAATGATCAGTGATACTTGCTGTGAATAGAAAAGAAAAATGGCATTCTCTTTATCTGGAACTAAGAAGGATGCTATATGTTAAAAAATATTAAACCTTTGAAAAAGTGTCATACATGGAAGTATGTTACATTTTCCTCTGATGCACTTTTAAGCAAGGTTATTAATTTTAGTTCATTATGCCTATTTTGTTAGTATTGATAAATGTAGTTAAGGACAAGCAACTGTTTCAGGCTTAGTACCTCAGTGGAGTCATATCCTTAGTGCCTAGAGATGTTTAGATTCTAAAACTGTATTTTTCCTAGTAACCCAACTATTTTATAGCTCATGATAATAATTTACAGTGAAAACTACAGTTACCAGGCAGATTGGAATATTCAGGCAGCTGACCCTGTTTTCTTCCCCTAAAGAAAATCTATTTGAGAAACTAAAATGATAATAAAAGTTTGCTTAGTGGGCCCAGAGCAAGAGCAAAGGGAAGAAGAAGAGTGTTCATGGGACATGTGATTAGAGCACTAAATATGGAGTTAAGGAGATGTGGGTTTCAATCCAGTCTCAACTCTTCCTAGTTTCATGATTCCATCAAGTCATTTAATCTCTCTGAGCCCCACATTTATTATCTGTACAATGAGGATAATAATAGCACCCACTTCCCAGATTTGTTTTGAGATAATGTGTATAATACTTTGCAAACAGAAAAGTGTTATAATAAAATGTGAGTTATTATTGTTATTGTTAAATTGTTGGAGTCCAAGTAGAAATTATTCTGGGACAAGTTGCTATGCCACCTGTCTTTAAAGTTTGTCAAACTTTCATGAAAATGGATAAAATACTTTTTGTGTTGGGCTGCAAGCTCATCTTCCATAGACTTACTGAAAGCAGTTTTGGAACAATTTAAGTAGCAGAGAGTGTGATGGGGATGATATATATTTTACCTTTTTACACTGGTTTTAATTTTTTTTTTATATTTTAAAAGCTTTTCAGCCCATGCAGTTTGAAGGTTATATGCATTCTATGGCAACTTCTATACACATGTTGTTTTTAAATTGTAGACTAACAGTTTTGTCTGTGATGATGCTTTGGTTCTAATACAGTTTATTTCTTAAATTCTCAATGATATTGTAACAGTTTTATTTGTAGTGGGGGATTGTAATCTGTTTATGAAGAATAGTGAACTTCTAGCATTTGATTCTAGCCCCTTGACTTTATTGTTGCAGGTATCTATTAGGTACTAAATTTTGGGAGCTTTTGTATTTTTTTTTGTATTTTTGTTTTGTATTTTCTACCATTTTTTCATAAAATTGTCACTAATAAGTCCAGTTTTCTTAAAGATGTCTTTTTTTTAGTTTTTCTAGCAATGACATGGTAGTAAGTGGCAGAGGTGGGATTTGAACCCAGGTCGTCTGTCTCCATGCAGCTAGATGGCACAGTGAATAGAGCAACAGGCCTAGAGTCAGAAAGACTCATCTTTATGAATTCAAATCTGACCTCAGACATTTATGAGCTGTGTGACCCTGGGCAAGTCACTTAATGCCATTTTCCTCACTTTCCTCATCTCTAAAAGGACCTGGAGAAGGAAATGGAAAACCACTCCAGCATCTTTGCAAAAATAAATTAATAAATAAAGCAAACAAACCCAAATTGGGTCACAAAGAGCTGAACATGACTGAAAACAACACAACAACAACTGCTCCCACAGGCAGTATATTTTGTCTCTCTGCCATACTTCCTCCAACAGAAGCACCTTAATCTCAAAGAGTAAAGCTATTGGAGGTTACTCTTGAAGGTGGGATACTTGCAGGATACAGTTGCTGTAGATAGCTATTTCCATTCATGATGGGTAGATTCTTGTTAGGTCCCTCTCGGGGACTGGTCTTCTCCCTGTAATTTGGTACCTATATACCTCAGTGGGCAGTTGTCCTCTATGTGGATATCCCTGGGCTTGGCCCAATGATGAAACCTCGGGGTCCTTCTGTCACAACACCCTCCACTCTGTTCACAGCTCTTCAAAGAACAGTTCCATTGCTTCCATGAAATTCAGCCATACTAAGGCTTTGTCCACTATTGCACTGCTTTCCTGGGTCTTGTTCTGAGGCATGCGGTCTTCCGCTCAAGTGCTAAATAATCATATAGTTACAGTGGTAGGAGGTTAGGTGCTGCAGCATTTTAGTAGAAAAGGGAAATTTGAAAAAGAATTTAAAGCAGGTTTATGTGTGTGTGTTTAAATGTGTGTTAAAATGAAGATTCTCTAATAAGATTACTATTAATATTTGCCATATACACACTCTTCAAAAACGGTGTCCCTGAAATTGTGATATCAAATATTGGTTTTGAAATCAAAAGCACGTATTTGAGTCTTAGCTTCTATACTTCCTATATGATCTTGGCTAAATCAACCTCTGAGTCTTAATTTTCTCATCAGTTAAAAATACAAATCCAAATCATTTATATTAATGGACTTTCTAATTATAAAAACATTTTAAAAGACAACTATTACTAGCTATGTGACTCTGAGCACGTCAGGTTCCTCAACAGTAGAATGGAGATAATAATAGCACCTATCTTGCAGAATTGTGAAGATCAAATGGTGAAAGTATTCAGTATAGTCCCGGGCACATAATAAGGCACTTAATAAATGCTTCTTTTTAATAAATAAATGCTAATTATTTAAATAATTTTACTTGATAAAATTTTTGTGACCTTAAAAATAATTTATTTAATGAATAAATCCCTTTCCCTTTTATCAGTGATATTTTCAATTATTTTAAACTATGGCAGATGAGTGATAGCAAAAAGAAAACTGATAAGGAAATTTTATGAAGTACTAATTATACTTTCAAAAATCTCTTTGGGAAGAGTCCAGTATGTTAGCTCCAGTTTTAAAATATATCTGTTGAGAAAACTACCAAATTCATGTAGGAAAGGCATTTAGACTTCCAATGAAATGCTGTAAGTGCACAGTTAGCAACGTATGGATTTATTCAAGTACTACCCTATCTTAGAGGAGTAAGGAGAGGTCATGTTTTTAAATTTTAGGCTTATATTTCCTAGATATGGAGGCAGATTTTCTGTATCCAATTTCACATTTGACCTAGATTTGTCCAAGTGGAGGAGGGCAACCAAATGCATTATTTTACTACATATCCTTACGAGATCATGATAATGATTATTCTGTCTCAGTGGGCCTTTTCTCATTCTTAGTTGTGTCTTTGAATTTGACTAGTCTTTGTAATCACATTTCTTTTTTTGCTTTTTAATTGAATAAATTTTTAAAAAGCATTTATTATGTGCTTTCTATAGTCAAAGCACTAAGCTAAGGGCTAGTGATACAAATAAAAAAGTAAAGTAATCCCTGATCTTAAGGAGCTTACATTTTAGTAGGGAGAGCCATCAGATTTAGGAGACTGGTGGGCAGGAAGAAATGGGTATTTCAGCTTGGAAAATCATAGGGATAGTAAATAACACCCTTGGGGAGATGATTACTTCCTTCCCAGTAGCAATGGTAGTACTGATTGGATTACATATTGATTAATTACTTCCCTGTAATGCATTCAATTTCCCAATTGCATGGAAGAGAACAAGGAAAGGTTTTATTCTAGAGAGTTCTGGAGCTAGATCAAACTGGCTAAATGAGCCAGTTGTTAAATTTTCCGTGTAAACTTTTGCACCTTGGACATTGGCAAACACTACAAATCAGAGCTTGATTTATTGTTTTGTCAATTGTCTAGACTTAAAAAATTAATGGAGCAAATGTTAATAATGCAGATTAAATTTAAAAGTGTATAATTTATTTTTAGAGAGCTGGTTGTTAAACATTTACTACCACATCTGTGATTATGTCTTCATCTCAAAAAGCTTCTTTAATTTTGTAATATTAATAATAACGATAACTTTTCAGAATTGTAATAATGCTTTATATGTTTAAAAAACACCTTCATGCATATTATCTTACTTGGTTCTCATTGCAATCCTGTGTTAAGTTAAGGAGGGCATTATTATTCCCTGAGATGCTATGTATTTTATCCATGGTCACATAGCTAGAACTACAACCCAGGTTTTGTGATTCCTGTAAAGTGTTATTTTAATTTTACCATCTTGGTTATTTACTCTACCAAAACAGAAATAATATGAAAGATAAGTCACATGTTCAAAGTTTGACCCAAAGAGTTAATATATCATAGAAGAATTGCGTTTGAATTCTCCCTCTACCTACCTAGCTCATAAATAACCACCACCAAAGAACACGAGATGTTGGATTATATTTTGAATG